CCATCCCTTACTCCCGTGACTAATATATTGTGTTGCTACCATCCCTTACTCCCGTGACTAATATGTTTTGTTGCTACCATCCCCTACCCCTGTGACTAATATATTTTGTTGCTTATTCAAGGGGACGAATGGATCTCAGCAACTCATCGGTGGTCAAGCGATACCTCATTGAACCAATCAAAATGGATGCTCACATCAGACGATCCCTGAAGCCTTCATGTCACGACTTTCCTTTCATAGATGCCAATGCATCACTAGACTTCGTCAAGGTACCGCATATACCGTAAAACAATTGTTGATCCCACAAAAAATCAAATTTTGTTCTAACGAAATCTTCATTACATAGTGCGCGCTACTCAATCACGCAAGCGTGCACCATCAATTTCTGGATGCACSCTCACGCACTCTAATTAACCAGTCAGAGCGTGCGTTATATCGTGGCTATATGTTATAATAAATAATGTAAATATCTGTGTTAATCTTTCTTTGAACAGATGAATCTTGGTGCAAAAGATTACCTGCTCCTTACCACGATAACCCAGGAAAATCTCAATGAAGGAAATAACTTACACGTTGCAGGTTAGATACCAGCACGGTCACGAACAGAAATGATGTTGTCCTTTAAGCAAATCATCAACCAATCGAGGGGGCGGTTATCAATTGGGATTCTGTCCTGTTACCGCCTCCTGTCAAATGCTCATCTTTTTCCTTTTTTTAGGTGTAATATGTGTATTTTCTTTGGTGACAAAATCCATAAAATCAAATAAATCAAAGCGCGCAAAATTTTTATTCAGCCAACATAAATGCTGGAGCACAGAGGGGATCTTTTGGTTATTATTGTCACAGCTACATGGTTATTACAAGAACATGTATATTAATCTAGGTCCCACATGTCGAGGCGAGGCAATAGAGCTTTTATTTTGTGACGTATCTCCAAAAAAACGGCTAAAATAAAGTGAAAAAATGTTCTGTATGATGTAACCTCCGCCTGCAAAAAATCAGAACTTTGGACGTCACATTTAAAAACTCTATTCCGGTTCTTACACGAAATTTACCGTAGTATAAAATATCCTTTAGACATAAAACCATGTTATGGAAAAGAGACCGGGGTGGGGGTACTCCCCTATATTCGCTATACGGGTACATGGTTTTCAGCGATTCTAATCTGGAACAGGGTATATAAAATCGCGCTCGCTCTGGAATAGGGTATATGAAATCACGCTCTCTCCTCTCTGGAACAGGGTATCTATTTTCACAATACAGCAGGAACTGGGTATGGTTTTCAGCGATCTTGCTCTGGAACAGGGTCAGGGTTCAGTGGGCTCAGCGGCACATCCCTACCCTAAACGGGCAAGAGTACCCCCCCCCCCTCCCCAGAAAGAGAATTCATTTTTGCTAGTATTAAATGCTTTTCTTACTTTCAGCAGTTGATGCCAGTTTGACTCCAGAACATGTCATCGATCAAAATGTCCCCAATGTTGTTTCACCTGGAAATGATTCTGCAGGTTTGTGATAATAAATCAGATATCTTTTCCTTAAGTTTTGTCTAATTTTATTACTGTTATAGTATTTATTAAATATATTATGATTATTTAGACACGTCTTCTCTTGCAACATCATCGTCTGGGGAGACGTGGGAGTACATGGCTTTTGCTTTCGAGGTTCCTGGTGTGACGCTTACTCTCTACACCAATGAGAAAGATCTGGTAAGTAATGCAGTCTTGCTTGCTTGCTTGCTTGCTTGCTTGCTTGCTTGCTTGCTTGCTTGCTTCCTCTCTTTTATTTTTATCTTTATACAAGTTTCTTAGCTTTTCGTTGTTTTTTCTTATATTTCATTGCTATTTTTCTCATGCTCGCATCAGAACTAGTTATCTTTCGATATTCTCATTCTGTTTTATTTTCTCGAATACTAACCCATCTTTTCTCTGTAGGATCCATTTGACTCACGGTCACCCATCTATGATCCTGAAACAGCCTTGTGCCGCTGTGATGTTGACAAGACATCGCTACAAATCGCTATACCTAGTGATTACTCTGTTCTAGTCCAGGGCATTCTACATGGCATATCAGTAGAGGATATCAGGCAAGACTCTTGTTCAGAATTTCCAAGGTAATACCTCAGTTTTGAGTCCTCTGTTGCTCAGGTTTAGCCTTTAGCCGTCTTTGTGAACAGTATTCATTTATTCCAGTCAAGGTTCGTGGAATTCCAAAGTGTTTGTAATGTTGAAGTTGTGAATTCTTTACTTTTACGTTGGTATTTTTTGTGAATATTAAGACACAAATACGAGGCTAAGCCTGAGTAAACGAGTCTGTAATCAAGGAAGACAGTGGTAATTTGTATCTCGAAAATGGTCTATTAATTTTGAACTCCGAATCTATTGCACATTGCTTTAAATCCCTTCCTTGTGGGTCTTAGATTTTAGTCTTTAACATAAGAGAATTCTCTTGTTTTGTTGCTTAGGTAGGGAGTGATATGTGGTATAAAATGGAATGCTCATTTCTTTTGTCCTAGATTGATTGACAAGAAACTAGGTTCGTATTCAAAGGAGCTTACATCTTCACAAGATATGTGTGAATTTGTTTACAGCCAAAAAGTGAATGGAGATATTGATGGTGAGTCCCCGCTTCTTCTTCCTCATCCACCTTTTCCTTTTCCTCATTCCCTTCCCATTCTCCTCGTTGTACACCCCCTTCTCCTCGTCCTTCTCCCCCTTCTCCCCCTTCTCCCCCTTCTCCCCCTTCTCCTTCCCCCTTCTCCTTCCCCCTTCTTCACGTCCTCTTGTCCCCATCCCCATCCTCTTCTCTTACTATCTCTTCCCCTCTCTAGTGTTTGTGTGATGACAGCAACAAAGAATGAAATAAGAACACTTCGCCAATCTTAAAGAGTTTAATTGTTATTATTTTTGCTTTATTTTAACTTGCCTTTTCTTTCCATTAGTTGTCTTACAGCTACAAAATGCCGCCATCTTCGTCAGTTTTCCTTTTATTTGGCCTTTGATCGAGTTCTTCACCGCGGTACCAAAAATAGAAACTGATGAAGATCACTACATGACTCCTGCAGAGAGTCAAACCTCCCTGGACGCTCCTCCACCCCAGTCATCCCCAGATAGTCCTCCCCAGTCCTCTTCTCGTTCTCCTAATACAAAAGTTATACATCCAAAGCCAGCTAGCAGTGAGAGTTCGTCTCAGCATGCGATGCCTGTGTCAAGGCCCAGCCAAGTTACGGCAGATTATAAGATGACAGTACGTGGAACAGTTAAAAAGCCGGATATCGTTCTGTTGGCAAATCCGTTAGTTAAAGATTCAGAAGCACTGATCTTACAGGTATTGGGACGTTTGTTAGTTGTGGTGGTGTTAGTAATTCTCCTACGCAGCTGCTATTAGTGTTGTCACGCAACGCTCATTCGCGGATCTGTCAAACTTATATTGCATGTGACGTCAAAGAAGCTCAATTTGGAGGACAAAATAAAAGAATTTCAATCTCATGAGAATTGGAAACCTATTGTTGTGTCCTCCAAATTGAGCTGCATTCCGACGTGCAGCAAGAGGTCTATTGTGCAGTAAATCAAAGCCACACTGTTCGCTGATTGGTTAAACGCAGAAGAAAAGGGAATGTAATGTTGTGCTTCAGTAAGCGGCTGCTACTTGGGAGACTAAATGGTTCCTAACCCTGGCAATGAAATATACTCCATTGAGTTGTACGTGTCTTCTATTCATTACACATTCGATGATTTAGCAAGAGCGCAAAAAAGAAATGACGATTGTTGCATGACGAAACTAATAGCGGCTGCCTAGGAGACTAGTTGTTGGTGTAATATCAATGTTGTTGGTAGTGGTATTGTTTTTGGTAATTAGGTAATAATTATTAGTTATAATAATAATATTGGTAATAATAATAATATTGGTAATAGTAATAATAGTAATAATAATAGTAATAATAATAGTGGTGTAACAACAATATCACACATTCTGACACTCAATATCCATTCTTCTTGTTGACAGACTGAGGTGGAATTCGAATATAACATGGCAAATGAAAACCAAAGCCTTCGTTCTGTCGTATCTGGGCTGCAAATGATGTCCTGTCAATTTCCTCAAGTCAAGGAAACGTCTTTTATGGTAAGGTTACTCTCCGTCAAACCAACCCTGTGTCAAGCATTCTGGGCTGATCTAAGTCAGGGCTTGGCTAACTCACAGATTGAACCCTGAAACAACCTCTGGGCTGATCTAAGTCAGGGCANGCTAACTCACAGATTGAACCCTGAAACAACCTCTGGGCTGATCTAAGTCAGGGCATGGCTAACTCACAGATTGAACCCTGAAACAACCTCTGGCTGATCTAAGTCAGGGCATGGCTAACTCACAGATTGAACCCTGAAACAACCTCTGGCTGATCAAAGTCAGGGTATGGCTAACTCACAGATTAAACCCTGAAACAACCTCTGGGCTGATCTAAGTCAGGGCATGGCTAACTTACAGATCGTACACTGAAACAAAATCTGGACTGTTCTAAGTCGGTGCCAAGCTATCTCACAGATTGAACCCTGAAACAACCTCTGGTTGATCCAAGTCAGGGCACGGCACGTCAGTCAAGATTGAACCCTGAAAGTTTGAGCTGATCACTGTCAAAGCACGGCTAATACACGATTGAACCCTGAAACAACCTCTGGTTGATCAAAGTCAGAGCATGGCTAGCTTACAGATCGTACTCTGAAACAAAATCTGGACTGTTCTAAGTCAGTGCCAAGCTATCTCACAGATTGAACCCTGAAACAACCTCTGGTTGATCTAAGTCAGGGCACGGCACGTCAGTCAACTCACAGATTTTTATCATTGATAGGTATTGAGTCCATGTGACGTCATCCTTGGTTACAAAACACCTTTGGCTGAAGGCAAGGGACAAGGGATATCTATAGGATGCGAGAACATGAAATTCCAGTGTTCTCCTTCCCTCTATCATGTAATAAATGATGTTATTATCAACTTATCTGGACAAGAGAAGGTAACCGTACTCATGGAGGCTTTGAATCATCACGTGATGGCAGCCATGACAGGAGGCAGGAACGATTGAATCTGGTCTAATCTGATTTACATGAGAAAGAATTCAGTTTCCCAAGGGGAGAACGACTATTGTTGTGCCTCCTGTCATGACTGCCATCACGTGGTGGTGCAAAGCCTCTGTATGTATCATGAGTTATCTTTGGGCTTTCTCTCGTAATTTACAAACTTGTGGCACTTTATTTAACGTCTTTAATAGTACTTGGTCATCCAAGTCACGGCGAATGTCTAACCAATTGCAGATATTTTTTGAACAAAGGCAGCACCTTCTACTCAGATATTTTAAGATCCAGAGTGTTTGTCTGGCCAAGGCTTGAACCAATGACCTCCCACACAATAAACCGTTGCCCCAAAAAAACTTAACCAACAGAGATGCCTACAATGACACGCAAACATATGTAAAAAAAAGTAATACCCAATTAGATAAAAGCATTTAAACCGAGGCTTTAACAAACTGAGCACCCCCTCCCCTCCCCTCCCCTCCCCTCTCCCTAAACTCAATAGATTTTGGAAAGATAATTCATGGTGCAGGTTTTCATCGGGGTTTTATTGGTTTAGGTTTCTGAAGGAGTTCAAACTGATGGCGAACAACGAATAAATCCACCAGATGATCTGTGGGAGCCCCAGCCTACCACGGCCGATCGTTGGCGTAGGAAAACTGGTAACTAACTTGCGTGTGCTATTGTCATACCTCATTGGTTTAGGATGACATTACGCCTTAATACTATTCGGCTAAATTACCTGGTTTCATGCCGAGAGAGGTTGGGACCTAGCTTCTGTTTTTCTGGACGCATCGCATTATTTCAGGCAAATGCATGATCTTTGTAAATCTCTTTTATCTTTCTTGTGAATGGCACTCATTTTTTAATGACAAGTCTGTACTAGTATGTGTGACTGGTGATGTGATTTCCATCCGGAAAAACAAAAGCAAGATCCCAGCCTCTCTCGGCTTGAAATTAAGCAATTAATCTCATTAACGCCGTTCAATGATAAGCAAATGCTGCCCTAAATGTGCTATCAACCAGAGAGTATTATATCGCTTGGTATCAATCAGCTGAATGAATCTCATTACCAGCCTACAATGACAGGCAAACACTGCCCGTCATGTGCTATCAACCAGAGAGTATTATATTGCTTGGTATCAATCAGCTGAATGAATCTCATGAATCTTATAACCAGCCTACAATGACAGGCCTACACTGCCCGACATGTGCTATCAACAGAGAGTATTTATTGTTTGGTATCAATCAGCTGGATATCATGTGTTAGCCCTAACTCTATCATTGTTTGCTCTTTGTCTTTTCAGCTCAGTCAACAGAAAACAATACGGTATCTCGACAATCTACAGGAGACAAGGTAAAAATTCAACTTTCCTCTTTATTAGCTTGCACCGCAACGTTAGGATCCCTTCTACGGTCACTTTGGTAGCTTAAAAAGGATCGCTTGTCAAGTTGCGTCTATTGATTTTAAAATATATTTCACTCGCTTTCGCATCTGAAGAATAATCCTCGAATCGAGGAAGAGATCAAACAAAAACGTCTTCTTGCAAGTGATGCCGAGTCTTAAAATCGAACCCAACAGTCGAGAAGGGAGTGCACTACCTCTACACCACCCTTAATTCCAAAAGTATTGAGTAAGAAGTATTGAGTGAATGTCAATGCACTTTTTTTAAGATCGCTTTGAACACCAAGGAAGTGCAGATAATGCTGGTCAATGAAGTCCATGGTGCACTTGTGCCGTTGCTACTGATGAAGACTCAAGTAGAAGCCAACGCTCTAGACTACACTGCACAGGTTAGAGACCTGGTTTTTTTCATTATAGACTAGGTGTCATGTTCTCACATAAGAGATTAAAGGTCATATTTTCAATTACAGACCACGTGTCATGTTTTTTCCAATGCAGACCACGTGTCATATTCTCGCAATACAGACCACGAGTCATTTTTCATTACAGACCACGTGTCGTTTCATTACAGACCACGTGTCATGTTTTACCATTACATATCATGTGTCATGTTTTTCCATTACAGACCACGTGTCATCTTTTTCCATTACAGACCACATGTCATGTTTTACCATTACATATCACGTGTCATGTTTTTCCATTACGTATCACGTGTCATGTTTTTCCATTACAGACCACGTGTCATGTTTCATTACAGACCACGTGTCATGTTTTTCCATTACAAACCACGTGTCATTTTTTTCATTACAGACCAATTGTCATACCCTAGAATATCAGTTCTTAGGTAGTTTAATAGTTCAAAATCAGAAGACGTTTCATGTGTCGTACTCGTGGTCGAATCTAAAGCTCCGTGGTAGTTATGGGGAGTTCCTGCAACTCCATTCATAGACACTGACATTGACCTCTTTTCTCTTTAGATGAAACTAGAAGCTGATATAAGTGTAGAGGTGACGTATTACAATGAGCGCCTAGGAGCCTGGGAACCACTAATTGAACTGGTGGATGAGGACCGTGATAATCCACGATGGGAACTACAGCTAAAGGTAGGCTAAACTTCACTTGTTCATGATGGGGTGGGGGGAGGGGAGAGGGAAATGGTGGGATTTGGGGGGAGCACGTAAAAACATATGGCATTTAAAGAGGGGCACCCCAAAATAATTATGAAAATAAAAAAATTATCCTGTATTGATAAGGGGCCATGTAAAAAAATTCAGCCCCCATTCTTGTAAAAAATGAACGAACGTCCCTGATAAGTTAAAATTAGAGTTGCTTGTTGGTTCTCTCCTCATTTCCGTATCCAAACCCTTCACACCTTTCTAACAAAGACAAGAATGGTTGGTTCTCTCCTGTGCTTCGAAGGTTTTTATCCGGGTTTTTTAGTTTCTCTCTCTTGAAAATTAACTTCCAACGAGGGTCACAGGTTTGTTAAGGAACTTTATTTACCCCAAAGGTGTAAAAATATTTCGGTGACTCTGAGGGTAACCCCACCTTCCCGAGGAGAAAGAGACCAAAAGTCTAGTGTTTAACACAAGGATTACCCTTACATGCATATAGCTTGTATGGACCCTCAAAGCGCTAAAACTAACTTCACTAAGATTTCTTTATGTCAATATATTTATTTTTCTGTCAGATATTTTTCGCTGATGGTTACATATCATCGTTTACACCACGTGACCAAGAGTCTATAGACGGTCCACCACAGGACATGACGGATGGCCCTGATGCACATCGATGGATTGCCTGGCAGAATCGACCACGTTCTGAATCCAAAAAAGCACTGACGGCAAAGCCATCTGCTCTGGGGAAACGTGACAGAAAATCTTTTAAGTCGTGAGTGTTGGCTGATTCCTATAAACCCATTAAATTTAGATCTGAGCTGGTCGTTTCACTAAATATATTTTTGAACATTTTAAGACGTTATCTATGATCGCTAAGAGTACAGTCTATGGAAATCTATGTGGAATTTGTTAAGATTATGATTTCTTTGTTTACCTATTGACTTTTCTTTGGGTGTCAAACGTCATTCCCTTGATTATTATTTTTTTTGTTTGTCAGTTGTCAGTTGCCAGATTCCTGTAGACAAGGCTTTTACTTTTGGTGACACATGCCAATCCCTTGAGTATTATTTCTTTGTTTGCGTTACTTTGGCTGTCATTCCCTTGAGTACTATTTCTTTGTTTACCAGTTGTCTGATACTACCTATAGACCCTCTTACTTTGAGTGCTTCGTGTCATTCGATTGCTTATTGTTTCTTTGTTTACCAGTTGTCTAATACTACCTATAGACCCTCTTACTTTGAGTGCTTCGTGTCATTCGATTGCTTATTATTTCTTTGTTTACCAGTTGTCTGATACTACCTATAGACCCTCTTACTTTGCGTGCTTCGTGTCATTCGCTTGAGTATTATTTCTTTGTTTACCAGTTGTCTGTTTCTTTGTTTACCAGTTCCAACGTCTCGTATGATTCCCTTGAGTATTAATTCTTTGTGCCTCGTGTCATTCCCTTGTGTGTTGTTTCTTGGTTTACATGTCATTCCCTTGAGTATTAATTCTTTGTG